GATAGTCTCTGACCCCATAAACAGCCCCCCAGAGGTAAAAGGTCATGGTACACATCTACTTTATAACATCAACACAATGTCGAGTTAAATAGATATATCTGATAAAAAATAGGCTACGTCTCTGGGGAAATTTCAAAGTAGATTGAGGTTGTGGGAACAAGATTTTAGTGTTTATAGTCTGCAGCTAGGCAGAAAGTTAATGCTAAGCCTAACCTGATTTGATCTTTATTCGGTTGATAAAGAAATCTGACAATTTATCATATATATATATATACACACACTGTAACTGGAGCATGTAACAAAAGTGAAGTTGTTATGAAGTTGTCTCTGGTCCAGAAATGATTTAACACACAAAAAAAAGTTTATTTGTTGATTGCAAATTTGTTTTTGCCACATGTTTTCCTTCCACTCAACCTTCTCTTGATTTGCATGGATACAGCATGTTGAACAGCCCGTTTCTTTAGCTATCAAGTTTTGCGTCTTACCTTGTCTGTGAACAACTTCAGTGCCTATAGACAACAGCTGTCTTGTGACTATTTTGGTCACATTATAAAACTGTTTGATTCAATATCCTTTCTCATTTTTCTAACATATTTACATTTTCTAGGAAACTCAATTTTGTAAATGTCATTAGCTATAACCCTGAATTCCATATTTTTTCAAAAATAAAAATTGAAAATTTATTTCTTTTTATGTTAATTAGATTTAAGTAAAAAAAAATTGTAAAAAAGCAAAAAAAAAACACATAACACAGGATTAGCACAAACTTTTAAACAGGATTCATAAACACAAGATGGCCATTTTAAAAGATTAAAAAAATTATATATGAGAAACTATTCTGCATGCTGATATAAAAACAGCTATAGAAATTGGAGCTGTGAAGCCTTTATCAAGATCAGCTATTTGATGACCGATAACAAAGTGAAGACGAAACATTGAGCTTATGTTGTTCCTGTAAAATATTAGTATCAGCGTAATGTTTTTTGTAACACTGAGTTTATCAGATTAAGAAGGTAGCGCAAACTAAACTGTTTTAAATGCTTTGCTCCTCGCTATTGAATTGGTTGTTGATAGATATGAATTTTAGTTCTTCATCTGTAGAATGATTTGAAAACAGCCAGGTCACTGTACATGATTTTGTTTTTTTTTATTTTATATCTAAATCAACAAAATTATTGTACTCTAACATATAAAACTAAGCGACACTAAGTCCTCAGCCACATGGAAACCATGAGCAATCATTTTTGAGTTGGCTACTGTACATGTGAACCGCATCTTTTATGATGATGGATACATGACTAGATGACATTGTAGCTCCAGTTTTTTTGTAATTTACATGTGTCTCTGCCACTTTGCACGTGGCTTTGGTTCTGTTTTATCAAGCTGGCACTTAAGGGTTTAGTATAGAAATAATGTAGTAGTGTGTTTGTGTTAAATTAATTACAATTACTTCTATTAAATGTGATACCACAAAAATACAGATGTTATCAGATGTTTGGTAGAATCATCTTTTGCTTGATTAAGCATCTGTATTTTTGCAACAAGCTACTAAAGACAAGATATTTCATGGGAAAGAGAATATTGTTTGCTTAGATTTTCCAATCAGTAGTTTGTTAATTTTAATTACACTCAAATTTAAAAAACACAACGGCTCACTACCCATCATGTGCATGTCAATGTGCGAAGTCTGCACTGTTATTCGGTAAATTTTGCTTTTAATTTTCATGATTTTTGTAATTTATTTCTGTTTTTAACATAACTAACTCTCACATTAATTTCCGTGCTTTAATTTCATTCAAAAGATCAATTCAGGTAATGTCCAGTGTTATTATAAACAAAAGAATTGGAGTCTTTTGTAGTCTTTCACCACATTACATTTAGAACCACTTTGCAACTGTTTTTGTTTGCCGATGAGACTCTAGTCTGTTTGCAGTAAAGGAGCAGTGAGAACAACTTTTCAGCAGCGCTGTAAAGAAAGATTAATCATTCCTGCAGTAATTTAATGAATCCATGTCAAACAGTAAATCAACCTGCTTTGCCGTCTTGCTATGCAGCCAGAGCTACATAAGGCCTGTGTTCTGCCAAATCTGTTCACTTTCGAGCCAGTGATTGTTGTACCAATCTTCAGCCGGGGAGTGGGACTGCTATGTACAGCACAACAAAGCGATCCCAGACAGCAATGCTCAAACCTGGCCAAGAATCATCAAAGTGCTCATTTGGCAGCTCATTTTAGGACATACAGCCAAGGCCAAAGAAGGTTTTCAACCTGACACAAGTATGGAAGTAGAGGAAGGTGTTAGAAGCATGTCCACTTGGGAGACTGCTCTAAAGTATACTATGTGAAATTAGAACTATTAAAATGAGTTAATATATCATTTTCCTTCAGGACTGATAAACCAAACTGCAGTCAAGAAAAAATATAATTCCCAAATAAGGGATTATCTTTTTTTAGTTTAGTTAAATTATATAAAACTCCCCAAATGGCACAAAATAAACACCAGATTTAGACTAAGACATTTTGCTGAACTTTTTTTCTTTTATCTTTTGTCACTTCTTTGGTAGTGCTAGCTGAAAATTAATGACTGTCCTGTTCATTACCTAGTTTGACTGAATGGCTGCAGTGCCAGGTTCACACGGCTTTTGAGATTGAAAATTTTTCCGGTGAACCTAAGAGACCAGACACATGATAGTAAAAAAATCATGGATATAACAGGTTTGGTGCCAGTGTGTGATTTGTACAGCCATAACACATCCCATTTTAGCAGATTTCCTTGAGTGAAATTCAAATGTTAGACAGGAAATCTCATCAAACCTCTCAATCAATGGTTTAGTTCAAGGTACATAAACACTGCAGAGATGCAGAAGCAATGGCGATGGGTTTGGAACCAGTTTTAACAAATAACATTAAAAAGGCGCTGGTGTAAATAGTGGTGGCAGAGCAAGTAGGGGATTCACTTACTATATTGTAACACAGGTGAATTGTGATTTTTTTTTTCTCAGGAAAAGGAATTCTGATTGTCTTCATGTCAGATTCAACAAACTGTATCTTTGTCTGTCCTTAGAAAAAAAAAACACACCATCCACAATGCTGGGATATTAGGCCAAGGAAGTCCAACATGACAATTATCCTGATATTCCAGACTAGATTACCGTAACACAACACATACAGTAGTAAAACCTTCTACATAAGATTACTGTAAGAGCTATCAATCACTAGGGAATCTTGGAAGGGGATGATCAGGGCAAAAATTCGGCACAAATATCACGCAATATGTCTTAAGCTTTGTGTATAAGGCTTAAGACAAGAGGTCCTGTGAATTCCAAAAAGCCCAGATCATCAGGCTTCCACCACTATGGCCAAACAGTCTCCAAAAGACATTGTTCCAGAAACCTATTGGTCCAGTTTGATGCTATGAGGGTTAGGAGCAAACAGACTTTCTTTACTTTACTACTGAACATTGTAATACTTGAGCCTGAGAGACAGATTGATTTCCCTCTTTTAATAACATTTCCGATCAATCTCTTCCCTAATAATGAGATTAAATCCACTTGTGAAATCAGACTATTGTTTAAGTTTCACTAGCTTTTTAAAATATCCTGGTTTTGTTATTTTAATGCTGAGGGAATACAAGTTCTGATGGACTCATGAGGAAGAGCTTTAGACTCTATATTGTGAAATAAAGTTAAATTATGCCTCGGCCTTAATTCTGAAACTTCTACTTTGGTTGGTTCTATTATATGTCCAGTTTTACCTTATGTTGTAGGACTGTTTGGTTTTTATTATACTCGCATTAATACTAAAGTCCTAATTAGATCTATGATGTGTTTCAATGGTTTGCATGTGTTTGCTGCAACAGTAAACCTACTTTACTAAGTGACATGTGTCCACAACGATGTGAAATGGTGAAGTTGTGGAATCCCATTTTTCTGACCACAAAGATTTTGAATTGGGATCGAGCTCACAGTTAGCACTCTAATCAAATTTAACATATCCTGATAGATAAAACCCAGGAACTGAAAGAGATGTCCATTCCTTCCATGACTGTACATCTCTCAAGCACAGCAGAGACGTTTCTGATGCTCAGTCTTCTGAGATTTGTGGAATCTGGATATATCTACAAACCAATCAGTGAGTGACATTTAGCCACTACATTCACAGAGGGAAATTAGCAAAGAGCAGGATTAAAATGTCAAAAGGTCATTTTGTTGCAAAAACAAACTGACTCAAGAGGGTTCATCGATTACAAGCAACAGTCATTGTCTCAGATCAATGATGCAGCTCTAACTGTGCAGGAGACTTCATTCAGCCCAAATCACCTGTTTCTCTTGTCTTACAGTGTGAACAATGGGGCTGATCTTCTCTCTATGTACCACAAAAAACAGAGTTCACACAGAAAGGCAAGAGAATGCAGGTCTCTATGACTGAGACACCTGTGCAGATTCTAAGTCATCTGGGTCAGAGTATAGTCCAAGAATCTGAATCAAAAGCAATTGGAGTTCCTGGTCTTGAGGCCTGCAATACTGAGCCACTTTTTCTTAAATTAAATTCACTTTATTTATATAGCGTCAATTCATAATGCCATCGTAATGCACTTCATTCCTTTTTTCTTACAAAAACAAACTCTCTTACAAAGTCCCTCACTTAATAAACCAACTAAAATAGCGTAGCGAATATTATCTATGTTTATAAAGACATTTAGCACATAGTGAATAGAATTACCTATTTTATACACAATATTTCTCTACAAATTCATGAAGAGCAAATGGTGAATAGAGAAATAGTCCCTGCTAGCTGACAAATATACTCTCACAACAAAGTATTATTATATAGTATTTTTCATTAAATATTTCTGCTGGAATCATTACACAGGAATGGACATAAGAAGAGAAAAAGATCTAAATATACAGAGGCACATCTTGTTTGGCGCTGCTTTAATCATCAGTATTTACCTAAAGGTCTCAGGCCAACAGCTACAAAGTAAAGAGCAGACAGTACTCACCACTTTGTCCTCCTGAAGCCCAGTCAGACATGTAGAATGAAAAGAAAGACAAGAAGAAAAGTTAGCAAGAATTATAGGAAAGCAGTAAAAAATCTTACTTCCTGCGCCGGACATGACCCTCGTAATGTTATCACGAGGGAATTGCCAAAGCAATCCTTCCTACTATCCACAAACCTCAGTGCTTTATGGAATTTTTATGCGACAGCCCAATTGGGACATTTTTCCTTAATCTGTTTTGGTAAAGTAGCTTGATTACCACATAAACAGATTCCTGGCCCTTGCTCAAAAATGTATCCCTGCAGTATAATCCTCCGATCACATTGTTTTGGCATGAGGACCAAGGTGATCTTCAGTTTTTGTCTCATCTGACCACAGACGTCTACTTTTTGATCTTGCCACTCTCTCCCTAAAGAAAAAAGCTAGCGATTTTAAAACTAACTGATGTTCTCCTAAGCTGTTAAACCAAATATCCCATGCCTCCTACCTGTATCGTGAATGAATATTCTACTTGCTTGTTCAACTGAGGAAACTGAGCGCTCTCCGACATCCACCTGCGACTTAGCCAATCAGCTTTGAACCACACCTCCACGAATCGGCATCCAAAGTTCATCTTAAAAGGCCTTAGATCCGCAACTTGTCTGTTCTAGTGCGCAATCGGTGGTTGCGTTGTCTGACTTCATTCAGTTGACCCTGTTTCAACCCGCTTCCAGCACCTCCTCCAACATTGTAGCTAAAGCTTCATCAGGGTTTCATTCCTCCCGGACTCTTACTGCATTCCTCGTCTCATTTTAACTGGTCTGGCAGAAGACCGCCATGTTGAGCCTGGTTCTGCCAGATGTTTCTTCCCAACGGGGAGTTTTTCCTCTCCACTGTCGCTTCATGTTTGCTCATCATGGACAGGTTCTCTGAACCTCTGTTATCCAAGCTGGACTTCCAGCAGTCTACAGACTGACCAACTTCATCTATCTCCACTCCACCACCAGTTTCAGGCCTGGGGGGGAAACAGCCCTGTTCTTTACTCCTGTTCATGCGTATCTATCAAAACTAAGCTCTATATGTTTCCTGCCGAGGTCTGAGTGCCAAAGACCAAGTAATTGAATCAATACATTTCTTCTAATTGTCTTTTTTACTCGTGTGAGTTTTTAAGATTTCACTTAATTCAAGAGATTATTAGATTATTAACTTGTTTGGTGAATTCCAAAGGCAGTTTTTTTGCTTCTTTTGTTTTATTTAGATGATGATTTAATTCAATATTAGATATTGGAGTAAAATCAGTTACATAACAGTTCATACATGACATTTTCTTTTCTGAAAACTGTGAAAAATTTCTTAGTATTTATTGGTTCAACGATACCCAACCAGACTAAAACCATTTCATTGGCAAAGGGACCTAGAGAGGTGTACTTCAGTAAAGTGTTTGGAAACCACCCTATAGCTGTCCTTGGTTGGTATCAAAATACATGTATTCAAAAGATTTATAAAATAAATACAAGGCTTAATTTGTCAAGCCAGTGTCTTGTCTCAGGTTAAAGGTTTATTCGTCTTTGATTTTCTATATTTACCCTCTCTCCTTACAGAGCACCACAGCTGAGAGCTCCCTAAATCAACCACTAACTAATTAGGGTTTATTTTTTTCATATGTGTGTGTTTGTGCCTGTGTGAGGTCATTAAATGCCAGCGTGGTAATGTGGGGAAGGGGGCCAGACTCAGACAGTCACTTCTTTTAAAAGAAAACTCACCTACTGACTGTAAAATTCACACACGCATACGCAAACACACACCCTGCTGTGTGCTTATAGGGCACCTCCGGACCCCTGGGAGACCAAGACAGAGTGGCAGACCACCCCCTCAGTCCAAAGATCAGTCTAATGCCCAATTAACCTTTACCAGGCCTTGCTTGGGTCACATGGATTCACGCACACGTGGGCACAGCTCATGCACGAACTTGCTCGGAGGCACACTTTAACACACACAGTTCTCGTATGTGGTAGATTTTACCTCACAGTCAGAGTAAACAGCGAGGATAGATAGTGTGACACACACACTGTCATGGCTTATCACCTCTGCCTGAGTTCCAACACCTGAGACTCGATCTGATGTACAGTATACTGATTTTGTTAACAGCTGCATGTCTTTTCAATGCCCCCTTAAAAAACAATATGAACCCGTGCACCTTTTCATTGTGTACTCCGATCGATCTGCCTTTTCAGGCAGAATTTCTCTTCTTTTTTCTTTTCTTCAACAATTATGCTATTGATGAAAATCACAAGCTATGTGAGCATCTATGCGTCTTTCATTCCAAAGATATACCACATGTTGTCTGTAAACTTTTACTCTAAATGTGTTCTCTTCACAAGTAGCTGTTGGTTCATAGTGGTAACGGGACTAAATATTTCCAGATAGATGATCTAGGGTCAGCAAGTCATAAGATAAATGTCAAGCAAAGTAGACCCCATTTCTGTCATAGGAATTTCACGTGCGTTTAAAGAAATGCTAACATTTTCTGATCTTTTCAAATCTAAACTTATTTTACTTAAATGTCAAGATAAAAAAGAAGCCCAACATTTTTTTCTCTCTCATGTCACACTAAATACAACAGAAAAGCTGCCTGTAAATAAACAAGTAAGCACATCCTGTCACTACGTAGCTTGTATAACTACCTTTGGCTGCAGTATCTCTGAGTAGTGGATTCCTGTCGGACTGTATTGGTTTCCCACATCGTTTTGGAGGAGTTATGACCCCCCTCCTCTTCACCTCGTTGCTTTTCTGGTTGTTTAACCCACTTTGGGCCTAGCATCAGCTGTCAGATTGAAGGCTTTACATTTGACTCTAGAACACTTGCAGCAATTTTTGGCCAATTGTCCTTTGCTTAGTTTTGTATAGGATGCAATCTTAGACAGAGATTTTTTTTTTTTTTCTCTCGGGATACCAATCTTCTAAAGTTAAGGTGAATATGCTTCTACATTCATTCCTGTGATTATTCGCAGCAGCCTTAACTCTTTTATAGAAAGCAGGGTGTGCCTCAGTTAACTTACAACACTTCAAATTGATAATTAGCAACAGAGGTTTCTCTAAGGCCAGTGCTGCAGACGTTCCTGCTTGGCATTGTAATGACAGATACCTGTATGTCTTGTATGTCAATAAAACTAATATATATTTAGACAAATCCTTTACCTATGCAGATCTAGTGGATTCTTTTCCTCATAAATCCCATTGAAGTAGCAAAGGTGTACAAGTGTTTTTCATGATCTTTTTGAATATATGTTAATCTTTATTTCAGAAACAGTGTTGTTTTTGGTGTGCTTTAAAAAAAATTGCTTAAATTTCAATAATTTTAAAAACTCCAACAAAGACCACATCATTTTTGTTGTGTCCTAAAATCTATTCTCATTATAAGTGCTCTAATAATCTATAAACTCTTTCAGTTTTAATGGATAGGAATTAACTCTTTAAATTGTGGAGGTCCAAAGCCCCTTTGTAAATCAACAAGACCTGTGTTTATTGTTACAGCAGCTTGTAATCTACAACTTCACCACCAGATGTCGCCTAATCCTATTTCCACTTCAATAATAATTAAGAAAAACAGAAAACTTGTTAAACGTGAATAAAATGAAACAGTAACAGATTATTAATTTCATGTAAATGACAGTTTCAGTCAGCCATCATGATGATCAGTTTTTAACTATATGCAAAAGCTTCTCTCACCGTGTTGGAGCGCAGGGACACTCTTCCCCCACAGCGAGCGCAGAACTTGGTCTGGCAGTAAGAACACAGGTTCCCACATCCATCTGCAAACTTGGTCTTGTGGCAGATGCCACAGGTTGGTGCATCGTCCCGATGAACAGCTGAGCCTGCTGCCACCGAGGCCTGCCGGATCACTGTCTCCCGGTAGCTGGACAAGTGCTGCTGGATACCTCTATAAATAACACCAGAAAAAAGGAACGAGATAGTTTCATATGTGTATGCAGATTCAAATTAGAAAAAAGAAATACTTGCTAATATTTACAATTGTGTTCTAAATCCTATTCACTCATGAACTTTCTAGAAAACTAGCTTTTGTCGGAGGCACCAGGCCTCCAACAAAAGCTTGTTGGAGGCCTGGTGCAAAACTCCACTGGCCACTGAGTGAGAAGCCAAGTACAATGTGGAAATGATCGGTCCATGACAGGACAATAAAAAACACATAATACAAACTACTATGAAGACACAAATTCACATCTGGGTGCTGTACAGCAGTATGTAAAGAAAAACTCCTGTTTATGTTTTTAAATAGCAGGAAGCTAAAGTTCACAGACTTGTAGGGAGAACATGATAACTCCACAAAGAAAGGCCTGTTGTGCCAGATTCCTACAATTCCTTTTTGGGGTTTTTTGTCCTAGAAAATGTTTGCTTATTGTCCCACAATATTAAGGCTCTTAATGGTCTATCACATTTGTGGATAACTGATATTAAATCGAACTGAATTTGAATTGAAAATAAATAAATTCAGTTGAAAACAGACTTATTCAGACTGATTGCAATTCAATCCAATCCAGTCCAATGATAAGTAATGAGCTTTTTCTTCTGCAGTTCATATTTTTTTGACACATTAAGATTGTTGTGATTTTATTTACAAATTGTCACTGAGACGTTCTTTCAGTGGAAATGATACCACCAGCACACTTTCTTGGATTAATGGTGTATAATGTCTAGACGACCCTCCGAATTTTTGGACATTTCTTTCATGCCTGCTTGCCTGCTAACTTTGTGGGACTTGGTCCTTTGTTTTAACCATCTTAGCTATTTATTTGACTGCTAATGTGGTGAATTTTTACCTTGCAATCAAGATGAATAGTTGTGAGATTTGTAAATTTACAAACTCGAAATACTGAAAATACTGAGTATAATTCAAATTGAACTACACCTATTATTGTTGCTTGGGCCAGATTAGGTAAAGTTTGGCCTTGGGGCAAATTGGCCATTTTTTAAGATTATAAAACATTCATTCTTATTATTTTGAAAGTAGCTTACAGAATTTGAGCTCGTCTTGTGTTTACATCACATTCAGAATTCAGTAGCAATGTAAAAATTTAGAAAAACATGTTTAAATCACATTAATTCAGGTTTTTACTTAAAGTATTATTATTATTTCCCCCATAAGCCAATTTAAAAGACAGAAGACAAAAGATGATCAAAAAACAAACAATCAAAAATATCTTGATTAAAATACTAAATTATGTTTATTTTTTTTCTTTAGTTTTTAGTCCTTGCTTGATAATATTTGCCTTCTTTAACTTAGAATAGTACATTTAAATTGATCAGACAGCTAGCATATTATTTGAGCAAAGCCCACTTCAAAATAAATCTCCAAGGCCATTCCATTGTAGATTTGAGGGGTATTTTTGCTTTCACTATGATACTAATACTTATTGTTTATTTTAAGCTCTCTGACAAACAACCAAAGATGATCAACTCCATCAAAGAAGAGGTAATCCTAGATCATGATGCTGCCACCACCATATTTCACAGTAGACAGATCTTTTATGGCATTATGCAGTGTTGTCAGTGCTAAATAGATCCTATAGACCTGGGGACTTAAATAAGGACTGGAAGCTTGTGTTTTAGTCTGATACTGCTGCTTCATTTTTTATATTCTGTCCTCCTATATATTTTTAAGTTAGATTTAACAGATATAGTATGTAGAGAAAGTTTTGAAATTATTTATAATGGCCCAATTTCTGCAAATCCCATGCAAGTATTTTGACCTTCAAAACCAACTTTAAGTAACTCAATACAATGTAGATGCTAATGTTTTTGAATGAAAAACATATCAAAATAATAAGTGAATAAGACCAAATTGGGCAATGTTCAGTTTGATATCAATGTTGAATGCTATCAGTTTTATGAGTAAAACTGTTACAGGCTGCGACACAAGAAACTCCTCAGATCAATATTATAAAGGGGAGGGGGATATTGGATTTATGTGTTGTTACAGTAGGCTGATTAATTGCATCTCACACCACTGAGATTGAGGGAACAGCAAATACAGATGGCAGGAAAAAGAAGAGGAAAGAGTGATGAGAAAAGCAGCAAATCTTCAAACTTATCACTAAAATCTGAGTCGGTACAAGTAATGTTGAAGTTATTAGCTAAAGATTGTTATGATTCCTATTTGTTGTTACTCTGAGTTTTCTGTTATCAGTTGTTTTGTTTTTATTTTCCATTATCTTCAAGCATTCTTTAGTTACTCTCTGTTGCCCCCTTGTGATTGTTTTCTTTTCCCTTGGATTCCCTCTTGCCAGTTCCACCCACACCTGCTCCCCATTCAGCTCGTTAGTCCTTCCTTTGTTTGGTTTTCCTTAAATACTCCACCTCTGCAGTCACTCGGTGCTGGTTCCTTCTTGTTGCTCTGTTGTCTACTCTGCTCGTCTCTCCCTGGCTCCTCAGACTCGTCTTTACCCTGATGTCTCCATTATTTTGGTATGTTTTATATTTTGAGTTGGACTTTTGGATTTCTGCCTCTGCTGCCTTTTGGTCTACAATGAAACCTTTCAGAACACATCCCTGCTTCAGTTGTCTCTGCATCTGGGTCCTCCAAGCAACCTCACCACCCTTTGTTGACAGAAGGAACCAGCCAACATGGACCCAGCAGAGTCAAACTCGGCAGGAAGCATGACACACTTCCTGGAGAACTGTCGGTTCGCTCTGGACAGGATTGCCACTCTCAGCCCTCCCTGGAGACGAGTATGTGCTGCAGCCGACCTTAAAGGGATTTTAACCCCCCAAACAACTGATAACAGAAAACTCAGAGTAACAACAAATAGGAATCATAACAAAGATGAGGAGTTTTTATTTATAATTGCTTAATCTAGAAAATATAGACATCAATAAAAAAAAAATGAAACATCTGAACGCGTCATGATTCCTTTCATTATTGCCAAGACAATTTTAACCTGAGCACAGTTGCTTATTCATATGTTTATAATAAAGTCACAGATTGTTAGAATCTAAAAAAAAAAACCCTAATGTTGAATACTCACAGGCTGGGGCTCAGCGGTGTCGACTCCTCACCCATCCGTGTAGCTAATCAAAACTACAAATCCCAGCATCAGAGATATGAGAAAATAAAATCCAATATCCCGCTGTTTGCTCCACTTTTCAGCATTGCTGCTGTACTCCTAACAGGCCAAGACGCTCCTGTTGATGCAGCTTTCAGACCCCAAGAACCAAACAGGTAGAATACAAGCTACCTCTAGAGTAGTTAACACCTTGCTTGCACACACACACACACACACACACACATACATTTAACACACTCGTATAAGGCTAACAAAAAAAAACAAAAAATGCAAACCTTAAAAACCCACATAGGGATGCACACTTCCTGGGAGAGATAAGGTCAGGAAGAGGTGACCTGCTGCTGCAGCTCAGCAGGAATCGCTTCCTGATCCATGACTCTCACTGAGTATTCCCCAACTACCGGCTCTGCTCAGCTGCTAATGGAGTTAACTCTCAATAAACTCCAGGCCTGATATATGAAACCTCTGTGATTGATTATATGTTTATAGCTGAACTGACAAATGTAGCATGGGTTAATAGAACAGCTTTGATCTAAGCGAGATCTGAAATGCTTCTTTTTTTTTTCTTTTTTTTTTTGCTGTGAAGCCTCATACCTTTTTTGTTGTCTCAGAGGCATAATGCTAATGCTGTGGCTTTAATCCAAAATGGCTTTTTCTGGTATTAGGTTTAATAAATCCACCGCGGCTGATATAAGTAAAGTCAGTCATAGAGGCAAGGAAGCCCTTCTTCAATGTCATTTTCTGCTCGGGTTCATTCAGTCCATTTAGAATTTCCTAAACCAAATGCTATATCTTTAGTGTTACAGTTTCAGCTTTCTTCTATTGAAAACAAAATCTCCAAGAATCCATACATGCAAGCAGTCAGGCGCTTTGTAACCAAAGCCAAGCAATGAAGGAAGTTTTTTGATATGTTTTAAGACATGGATAAAAAAAAGGAATTTAATGTGTTCTTTAAGGACGTAAGTTAAAATATCTTGATGTTGAGGTTAGAGATGGAAGGATGGATGGATCCATCTATCCATCCATCGTTCCTTACATTCATCTAGCTTTTGTCTGCTTCTCCAGTCTGTTCTGATAAAGAACGAGCAGAACTAAAATATGTCTAATCACAGATCAGGATTCAATCACCTGTAAGTTTTGTGGTCACTTTTAGTCATGCCACTTATCACTTTACTTGGATTTATCACTTTATTTGGATCTATCACTTTACTTGTATTTAGTATTACATATATATACAGTATATATATATATATATATATATATATATATATATATATATATATATATATATATATACAGAAGAGCTATATGTGTATATATTTTTATTTTTTTTATTTTTATTTTATGTTGGTTGGTTGTGTGTATATATATATATATATAAAACTCTAACTGGAGCGTTTAACAAAAGTAATTTTCCTCTGGGATTATTAAAGTATTTCTGATTGTGATTCTGATGCAAAATTAATGATGAGGCCAAGAATGACAAGCAGGTGTAATCCAAAAACTCCACTGAGAGATTATACTTTTTACCGCCTCATTTCTAGGAACACTTTGAAATTCATCATGAGGAGCTCGATTTTCGCGCGGAGACAGAAGTTAGGAGTTTCATCCCATCCTAAAACAAGATAAACTACTTTAGGACAGATGGATTCAATGATTAATACCATGAAGAAAAAAACAGACATAGGTTGTTAAAATTGACTTGGCTTAAGTTAAAGTTAGAACTGTTTTGTGTGTTCATTGAGCCGACAAGGGCCCTAATGAGATAACAAAAAAGAATCAAGGACCTGAATGGTCATTGAAGAATCTTGTCAAATTATTCTGATACACAGTTAACAAAAGAGTTATGCTACAAGCT